ATATTTGCAGGCGAGGGGGGTCAATGACTAAGAATCCGGGCAAAACATGGGGGAGAAAAATAAAAAATTGATGAAGAATCTGAAGATCGACTTTCCCAAGGAAAAAGGCAAAACAAAAAAAAAAGAGTCTAGAAGATGGTGATAATCTTGGGAATGTAGAATGACAAAAAAGGGAGACTTAAACGGAATATTATTCTGATCGACCAAAAGAAACAGCGCAAAACATTATACTCGACGACCGACACGGATTAGATTTGCACCCATCAAGCATGACGATTACAATATAAAACAGGAAAAGATATTAAAATGATGACTAGTAAGTTGTAACCAAAAAMCGGTAGTGAAGGTACACAACAAGTAAAAATGGAATGAATTGAAGCTCACGCAAAAACAACTGCATCTTTAAAGACAGACGTTTTGAACAAACTGCCATCGTAATCGCAATTAATTACATCCATCCAGAAATAGAAACTTCAGAGAAGCATGCCCTCGACGCACTCTGAATGAAACCTCGCAGTCTCACGCGCGAGGGGGACGACAAAACGAAGACAGCAGGCATCGCCACTATTCTAGCTGTTACCTCTTCGCTTCTTCGCTCCTCGATCCAAATATCCACAGATCGAAACCCGTAAGGCTTCTTGAAAATTGCTTGATCGTTGCCGTCCCGGTTATTAAAGCATTCCGTTGCGCGGCGTCCCATCGATCCCACACTCGAGACTTTCATCGACGGTCAGCGCAGCACGCGACCTAACGATGGGACACTCGCGCGAGAGAGAGCAATTGAGTATATTTCTTCTACCTACCGATACCAGTGATTACTCCGCTGCAGAAAACAGATCAGAAGGTGTTATCAGAGCCACCAAGACTACCCTCCCAGCAACTGAATTCCCTAATTCGTCACCATCTCTCTCTCTCTCTCTCTCTCTCTCTCTCTCTCTCTCTCTCTCTCTCTCTCTCTCTCTCTCTCTCTCTGTCTTACAACCAGAATCCACGGAGCATCTTTCTACGCGCAGATTGCGAAGATGAGGGAGCAGACTCTGCAGCGTTGGATGACGGGGCGTTCTTGGACTTCGGGGCATGCTTCGATGACGCGGCGACGGGAACTGCGGGGGAGGACGACGATGCTGCGGACGGGAAGCAGGCCATCGTGATTTGCTCGTCGACCTGTGCGGGGACAAGGAAACCGTTCGAAAGGACGACCAGAGCCACGTTCGCGTTGATCTGCTTCACCTCTGCTACCGTTGCCGAGAACTGCTCTTGCACAGCATCGCCCCTGAGGATGACTCCGCTTGTCGTCGCCGGCTCCACGAAGATCGGCATGCCGTTGATGGTCGGCAGTTTGTTGTCGACTGCAACCGCCTGCAGATCCGCTGCGGTCTTCACCGGACGCGACAAGGGTCCCACCTCCATGAATCGCAGAATCTGCACCATATGGTCCTTCACGTGCTCAGGCCGAGTGATGCACGCCAGACCATCAGATCCGAGGCCCACTTCGAGGTCCTCATCAGTCTGCGCGATGAAGACGAACGGCACTGATCCGTTGGATCGATCTCTGAGAGCGTCGACTTCCTGTGTGTCGACGAGGGCCTTCACCACGACCTTGAACCGTTGATCGCTCTGGAGAGTGCCAAAAAGATCAGCCGCGCTAGCAGTAGCGAACACCGAAGCTACCAACACCACCATCACCAAAAAAGCACTGCGTGCCATCTTCTCGGCTAAGAGTACTCTTCCTGGATCTACAAGGCCCAAGGACGAAAGTGGAAAGAACTTACTGCTAAGCTATGGCGCTTGCAGCGAAGTGAGAGATGCTGGGACGGGAAGGAAGACAACACAAGCAGTTTGCAATGAGAAATCGATCGACTTCGTGACCTCCCCTCCTACGCACTTGGTTTTGTACCCGCCGTGTTCTCCTCCTAGATGCGTTGTCCTCTGCATCATTGCCGAAAAGCCCCGCGCTTCTCTGTTCGCTTTTTTTTTTTCCGTCAGTCGTTCTGACTGGCAAACGCTGCGAAGGGCGGAGTCTAGATCTAGCGCAGATCGGGAGACGATAACCGTCGATAGGTTTGATCCACGGTCAGTATCTGCGTCGTCGTTACGGGAATTACGGGAATTACGGGATTTTTTTTTTTTAATTATTTTTTTGGACCATTTCTCGATTTATGCGTGTCATCCTTGCGCAGGGGCCATGCTAATCTTCTCTGTATCCTTCCAATTTTAACGGACGTCCCGAAGGACATTACGGGAATTTCGAGACCCCCCCCCCCTTCCCCGGCTTAGGCTTGGACCCTACTGCTCGGCGGTTGGAAAACATTTCCAGAAAAAGTAGAGACCCCACCGCCACGGTCTTGCCGGCCTCTTGGAAAATGACTTCCGTTCCCGAAATGATAATATCGGAAGGTCGCCTCCCGAAATGGAAAGTGTGGTGAACCAAGTGGTCCAGCTCCTTGAACCAGCGGCAGAAATGCGGGACGTCGTGGTCGCACCGCGACCAACATGCCGTGGAACTGTGTGGCACTGTCCCCTGCTGCTATACGGTGCCCTGAGTGTGAAAGTAGCGGTTGAGGAGGCTCCCGGCGGCGTTTTCGAATTCGTTTTCGATGAAATGCGGTCCGTCATTCGGAAGTGACACCTGCATAGCCGAGAGCGCTGTGGTGATGTGACCACTTCAGAGGGCATTCGGGAACTGCGTCCATTCGCTCCATATCATCGGGGGAGAGGTGTGCTTGTGTGGGAGGCGTGTGGCGGCCCGTCGTGTTGTGGTTTGCAAACTGCTGGCAATGGAGGAGATGGACAGTCCGGTTCCATCTGCAAGTTCTTCACAGGAGCAGGAAGACATGCTCTTCTTCTTGGTTTTCGCCATAACCCAGTGGGTGCACAGGCGCAATGCGGCGGCCATGGCCGTCCCCGAGGCTGTCGCATTCGCCCCGTTCCCGTTCAGGGACGCGGCGACCTCGTTGCCGCTCCTTGCAGGCGGGGTGATGCACGGATTCTCTCTCGCCAGTTTGGCTGCGGAGGAGTTGGGAAGACGCATGGAGCGCCGATGGCGGATATGGGTCGTGGAACGAAGCGGGGGTGTGTGGAGGGATTTGCAGCGAGTTGGGCGTTAACACGACAAGGTGTTTGTCCGATTCTGCAGACTGCCTCGCCCGCTATTCTTCGAGGTGCTGGGTAGAATTGCACCCCATATCCAGCGAGCCCCAACGAACTTCCGGAATCCTATTCCTGCTGGTCACAAGTTCGCTATGGCTCTCATTAGGTGGGCGACCGGCGGGTATTACCGGCAGACSATGCATGGCATGGGCATGGGGCTCGCRARTGCCTTGCGTTGCAATGAAGAGGTCGCAGATGCTATCATCAGCGAGTATGGCCATCTCCTTCGATGGCCGACTGGCCCTCGAATGCAGGAAGTGGAGAACGCTTTCGAGGCGAAAGGGTTCGCCGGTTGCATCGGGGCAATTGATGGCACCCATTTSTACATCGACAAACCGAAGGGTATGYGCGTGGAATGCTACTACCATCACACAGGACAGTTCTCTGTYGTGGCGCAGGTAGTTTGTGACCACGAGTGYAGAATCACTAGTGTTTACGYGGGGTGCCCAGGGTCTGTGCATGACTCGAGAGTTTTGTGCATTTCGGAACTGTTCCGTCAGGTCTCGCAAGGGGCAGGTGTCTTCAGCGAGGGAGGTGCTCACCTGCACGACGGCAGACACGTGGGACGGTATGTGCTTGGTGATCAGGATTACCCTCTCCTACCATGGATCATGACTCCTGTCGGGAGGACGGCTACAACAGCTTAGGAACGAACCTACGACAACCGTCACTCGACGGTGCGGTCTTGCATTGAGCGCTGCTTCGGCCGACTGAAGGCCGTGTGAAGGAATTTCATCCGACCGCACATCAGCAACATGAAAACCATTTGCAAGGAAGTGATGGCAATCTGCATCCTCCACAACCTGATGATCGAGCACAGGGTGGAATTTGACCCTGGTGTGCTCGATAGTAGCAGCGACAGCGATGGTCATGGAGGTCATCGCAGACGCCATCGTCGGAGGAGAGATCGTCGTCGTTTCGTTCGTCACATGCCCGACCTAATCGTCGAGACCGTGGTGGACGATGACCCTACAAACTGGTCCGCGCTAGGGGAGTTGTTTCGCAAGAGTCTGATCGAGCATGTGGACCACCACGTGGCAGTTCATGGTGCGCCGCCGCCATGTCCGTGGCGATAGTTGACGACGTGGATAACATGCCACGTAGGATTTAAAAAAAGCGGCAAGGAGTGGCAGCAGGACCGGGTCCGGGGTCGGGTCGGATTGGTAGTTCATAGGGTTCGGGGGTTGTGTGCGAAATTGTCATAATTTCAGTCAAATTCCGTGATGGACAAAAACATTTTCACGTGCATTCTCTCTCTCTCTCTCTCTCTCTCTCTCTCTCTCTCTCT